GGAACATATGGTGAGTGACATGAGCAGAGCAGCAGTGTTTTCCTTTCCAGGGCAGATAGCTATTAGGTTAGCTTAGCTCTAAAATAAAACCACACTCCAAGAGACATAGCAAGGCTGGAAACTGCTGCAAAAACACAAGAGTGGGGGACTCCTGAGAAGCAGGAGAGAGAAAGACTCAGCTCAAAGGTGACTGAAGTAAGGACTTTTCCAAGACACCCAGAAAACCCCGGTTGTGGTAGCCAGAAAGCTATTGAAAGTAGCTGGCCTAAAGAGCCAGCCTGAAGAAAAGGAGTGCTCCTTCAAGGGGATTTGTTTATACCCTTTTTAGTTTTAATCTGTCTCACTCTGACTTTCCTTGTTTAAAACATTTGTTCTAATTTGTGAAATACACAGCCTAGCTGTAAGTATTCTAAGCACTTCTGGTATTTTTGGTGGGCTTTCTCTAAAGAAAAGGTGCTGGCAGATAAAACTTAAAAGCTCTAGCTGACTTGGATCTAGCAGATCCCACAAGGAAGGCGCTAAAACCACGCTGTCTTAATGCTATATGATTAGCTTTTGCTTCCAGTGGTTAGGTAAGGTTAATTCGCAAAGAGGTCTCGGAATTGGGTCCACTTTCTACATCTACTCTAGGCAGCTGTGTGCAGAATCCATGAAACTACATCCATTAAACTTTTCTCTGGGCTTCGCAACCTGTGTTCTTGACTGAATAGTAAGCTGAGTATCAACTCAGACGGTGGGTTCTGCACTTATTATTCCATATCCAGTAAAAAATATGGATTCAAGTAACTTCAGTCGGCAGACTGAGAATCTAGGTCTTCTTTCTGGACTGATGCTTATATCACTAGTTGCTGCACAAATGGTATATACCACTTTCTTTGGAAGCCGTGTAGTGGAAAAACTGCACAACTTGATCTGCTACCCTTAAAATAAAAATCAGTACAGAAATTAGAAGTGAGGAGAAATAATTAATGCGCTGCACTAATTCAGGTGCTAAACTCAAAGACAGGCAGAAGCTGAGACCTATCCCTGTACTTCTACTTCCTCTTGTACCAGGTGGCAGCGCCTTGATTAGTAGTCAGGAAACACACACACCATAGGCGACACTGACTCTCTCTGTTGCATCTGTGGGGAGCCGGGTCCCTGAAGTCAGCCATGGTCAGGCCTGTGCCTTTTAGGCACCGTAGAACTGAAGACGGATACCTGAAGTAGTCGTTCTTAGCCTGCCTCCAGCCTTGCACCAGCGGCATAGTTCAGTGTCCTAGGAAGGGTGGATAACCCTGGAAGGGGAGAGGGAAGGTGTTAAAGAACATCATTGCTTTCAGTAGAAGGACTCCTAGGGCAAGTGTGTGCTTGACCATCTATGGCTGTATGAGTAGCTGGAAAGAACTGGACATAGCTGGCTGAGAGGGGAGGCAGAGTAAATCAATTAGCTGAGCTGTCACCTTAAGAGCAATAAGAAACGCCTCCTGGGTCAGACCAGTTGGTTCATCTAGCCCAGAACTGTTGCTCTGGCAAGGAGAGTAGGAGATGCTGTGTAGGGAGAGCTTGCAAGCTACACTCTGCTACCCTTTCCCTCGTACTCTCCATCACGCACAGTCATGGGATTAAGAGTATTAGAAAGTACATGCCTACCTATTCTCTTTAGTATCTGTTTATTGACGTGTTGTCCATGAATTTATCTAATGCCTTTTGAACCTGCTTTCTTGTTACACTACTGTTGTCCCCTCCTTAATTTCTCTGTGCAAAAAGCAGTGTCAAGTAAGTGCAATGCTGACCAGTTCTGCAGCCATCCCATTGCCAAGCAGCAACACAGAACTTCTTTTCAGAATCCAATAATGTGTCCCATAAACAAGCACTGATGTTCAATTCAGCGAAAACTAGATAACGGCCTGGAAACATCCAGCTTTCTTTCCTGGACTTGGAGTTATTCATTACACCAACTATTTATTCCACCAGGCTCGTATGTCGTAATAGAGCAGTCTGCCCCATTGTGGTCATTTTTAAAAGCTCTTAAATATTGATGAAAGCACCAGAAATTAAAGACTATTTCAAATCACCCAAAATACATTCCCTGGAAGGTGAAACATGATGTAGAAACAGTGACTGTTCACCTGTGTAGTGAGATTTTCAAGCTATTGCAAATATACTCAAGGGAGTATATTTTGTTAAAATGTGAATCTGGCTTAGGCTTTATTTGTTTATGATGTATTTAAGCAATTTACCAGAGAAGAATAAAAATGTTGCATATAGCCATGACAAGGAAAAATACTGGTTCCCTTGAAACCATGTAAACCTTTCGTAGGGCTCAGCTATTCAAGTGCTATTGTCAAGCTTTATCAGTTTGCAGTTTTACATACATTGATCATTTTTCTTGTCTTGGGAGCAAAATCCTGCTTGTTTTATCAATGCAAAAACTGCTTTGTGATTCGTTAGGACTATTCATATAAATAGCGAAAATTGGATTTGGCTTGTCATAGCTATATTGTACATGCCGTCCTTATACTCCCTAAGAGTTTTTCACCCAAGTAGTCTTAACTAATGTCAAGAATGGGTTCACAATTTATTCTTGTGTTTATTTCCTTTGAAAATAATAAATTTCGATTAAGAATAAACAACAATAGAATAGAAAAATCCAGCCCTTCTGAACAAATCAACAGGAACTGATTGGAGGTTTGCAGGCTTGTCAGGTCGACAATTATAGTGAGCAGATGTTATCTGCAGGTTTTTATGGTGGGATGGAAATGCTCAAATGATAAAAAAACTGTCCTGACAATATCATTTTGCCTGGATAGATTGTGCTTCACTGTGTTTTCTTCCTCTGCTTACTCAGTGTGAAAATGATATTCTAGTGTATTTGACATGTTGCCATTTGACCTGATGTTTGTTTAAGCTTCTAGAAGCTCACATCAGCAGGAGGTCACAGACAGGCAAAGTCAGTGAGTCTAAAAATGGTGCAGAAAAAAAAGATTAGGTTTTATTTGGGTTTAGATTATTTTGAAAGAAGCAAACAGACAAGAATTTAGAGAAAACAAAATTGTGTTTCTCATCTGATCGGTAAAATCATTTTATTAAATGATACAATTTACATCTCTGGCGTGCACTCTCAAATAAAGTGTCCCTTGCTGTGAACAAACAGCCTTTAGAAGTGAAAAGCCTTTTATAAAGATAGTGTAGTCTTTTGCTACTAGGTAGAAATGCAATGTGCGATAGACATTTGGTTGTGTTAAAGCAAACCAAAATGAAAACTAATTGTGAACATCCTCACCTAACAAAACTGAAGAACCCAAGTTTTCAGTTATATTGCATTTTCAAATACTCTGCTTATTAACAGAGATAGCTCTGAGGGTGAACCGAGTTCTAACATGAATAGCAAATATTTAAAATATCACAGAAATTCTTTTCTCACATTTACTGAGCAGATCTGTGCATTCACAAACAAAAATGTAAGGAATACTTGTATTAACGTATTCAGAACTCACGCACAGCAGTCACAGCTGTATGACAGAAAGATGCTTTGCTAGTGGAGGAATGGGATGAAGAAAAGGGAATGAAAAATGCAGAGTGGTGCTTCATAAAGCTTTGTGTGCATTAACATTTCAGTTAGTAGTCAGGGCCTGCTGCTTCCCTTGAAATTAATACATTGTCTGAATCTGGTTTCAGCCTGATTTCCTTTGTAAACAAGGCTGTGTGCTCTGTCTGCATGCCTGTATGTCTGTCTGTCCTCCCATTAATAACTTTGAAACTGTTTCTTTCATTTCTATATGGAATATAGCAGAATAGATCTCAAAAGACAATCAATTGCCCATAGACTTGAAAAATAAGTGGTTAGGTATAGGACAAATACAGTTAGCAGTATTGAGGAAAATGCTGCAGCCTAAAGTCATTCCTTATTAGACATGAGAGAATCCATATGGGAAAGAGAACTAGTAAATCCCCAGCAGTGGGAAAAAATTCTGTTGTGGATCACATTAAACACCAAAGTTAATCTATGATAAGATGCAAATCTACAGGAAACTCGATGTCATTAATTCTCATGTTCCCAGAAATGCTTGTTGACAAATTCTTTCTTATCAATACAAGGAAAATACAAGGCTACAGTTTTTTCTTGGACATTGACAGAATGTCAGTGGTTTTGTCTGAAAGTCTCTGAATCTGCACTTTTTACATTTTTGGTGCGTCTTTGTTTTTCACTGATGTGAAGACAGCTTAAAGCAGCCCAAGTGACAGTAGCATAACGACACATTATTATCTGCCTAATCCGTGTGTTGCACAGGTTATCCTTGAAGGATCATATTTGAAATGATACATTTGCTGGGCATTTTCTTGAAACATAGCTGGTCAGTGAGAGAGAGGTGCCTAAAAAAATCAGGCATCCAGAAATCTCCTTGAATGTAA